TAGGGTATCAATAGTATATAATTCTGATCCCTAGGGTATCAATAGTATATAATTTTGATCCCTAGGGTTTCAATAGTATATAATTCTGTACCTGGGGTATCAATAATATATAATTCTGATCCCTAGGGTATCAATAGTATATAATTCTGTACCTAGGGTATCAATAGTATATAATTCTGTCCCTAGGGTATCAATAGTATATTATTCTGATCCCTAGGGTATCAATAGTATATAATTCTGACCCCTATAGGGTATCAATAGTATATAATTCTGATCCCTAGGGTGTCAATATTATATAATTCTGATCCCTATAGGGTATCAATAGTATATAATTCTGATCCCTAGGGTATCAATAGTATATAATTATGTACCTAGGGTATCAATAGTATATAATTCTGATCCCTAGGGTATCAATAGTATATAATTCTGTACCTAGGGTATCAATAGTATATAATTATGTACCTAGGGTATCAATAGTATATAATTCTGATCCCTAGGGTATCAATAGTATATAATTATGTACCTAGTGTTTCAATAGTATATAATTCTGATCCCTAGGGTTTCAATAGTATATAATTCTGTACCTAGGGTATCAATAGTATATAATTCTGTACCTGGGGTATCAATAGTGTATAAATTAAGATCCCTAGGGTATCAATAGTATATAATTCTGTACCTAGGGTATCAATAGTATATAATTCTGTACCTAGGGTATCAATAGTATATAATTATGATCCCTAGGGTATCAGTAGTATATTATTCTGTACCTAGGGTACCCGAGCAAAAGTAGCCTTGTAACGAGAAAGTAAAGTCAGCAATAATTAGAATACAGATTTGGTGAAATCAATATGGCTGGGTATAGATTTTACGAATGAAAAGTGAAAATAATGCTTGACTGCATGAATATGGATTTTACTAAGAAAGTGTTCAAATTATGTTTGGCTGGATATAGATTTTACTAATGAAAAGTGAAAATAATGCTTTACTCAATATAGATTTTACTAATGAAAAGTGAAAATAATGCTTTACTCAATATAGATTTTACTAATGAAAAGTGAAAATAATGCTTTACTCAATATAGATTTTACTAATGAAAAGTGAAAATAATGCTTTACTCAATATAGATTTTACTAATGAAAAGTGAAAATAATGCTTTACTCAATATAGATTTTACTAATGAAAAGTGAAAATAATGCTTTACTCAATATAGATTTTACTAATGAAAAGTGAAAATAATGCTTTACTCAATATAGATTTTACTAATGAAAAGTGAAAATAATGCTTTACTCAATATAGATTTTACTAATGAAAAGTGAAAATAATGCTTTACTCAATATAGATTTTACTAATGAAAAGTGAAAATAATGCTTTACTCAATATAGATTTTACTAATGAAAAGTGAAAATAATGCTTTACTCAATATAGATTTTACTAATGAAAAGTGAAAATAATGCTTTACTCAATATAGATTTTACTAATGAAAAGTGAAAATAATGCTTTACTCAATATAGATTTTGCTAATGAAAAGTGAAAATAATGCTTTACTCAATATAGATTTCACTAATGAAAAGTGAAAATAATGCTTTACTGAATGTAGATTTCACTCATGGAATGTGAAAATAATGACTACAGATTTTACTGGTGAAGGTTAAAATGAATACCTTGATTTTCAAAGATGGAAGGTATGAATACTTAATTTAATGGAAGTGTCCTTGTATGACGTATATATATGGTTTATTTTCTGTTGACAGAAATGCTAAAAAGTTGTTCCTGTTTGCAACACATGACTCAACATTAGTGGGCATGCTTGGACTACTAGACATATGGGACAATATATGGCCTCCCTACTCAGCTGATATACGATTCGAGCTGTACGAAAATCAAAACAAGGAAAAGTTTATTCAAGTTCTGTATATGGGAAAGGTGAGAGATATTTGTTTTACTGTTAACCCTTTCACCACTGTAGACCATAATAGACTCATCCAGATCAATGTATGGTAGAGTCTGCTCAAGTTACCTAGGGGTGAAAGGGTTAATATGGAAATGTTCGCCTGTGGTGATGTTTGGTTTGTGGCCCCTGAAAACAAATTTGAACTCTTCCAATTCAAAGGTTGGAATAGTTCATTTTAAAAATTCAGGGGTGAATGAATTATTAAAAATAGAATAATAGAAAAATAGAAAAGAGAAAGTGATGTATATCAATATCAAAAAGTCCCTATAGTTTACACAACATTTAAACAACATTTTCTTGTAACTTATTCTGTCTGCTTTTTATATTTTGGCAAGAAACAATTTCCTATACATGTATTTCTAAATTTTCAGATATTACTCAAAGATGGCTCTTTTAAATTTCCTTTTCTTGATACATAGTCTAGCTTAAATAACTTTTTTATCTACATGTATATAGAATTATTAAGTTGTGAATAGTTAGCTAGAATAACAAGGCCCCAATGATTGAAGTATTTGTTTCGTGTTTCAGCCAATGAAAGTACGAGGGTGTGACTCGACCTTATGTTCCTTGAAGCAGTTCAGAGAAGCCATGAAACCATTCATGATACGAAAAGACGAGTTAAATTCAATCTGTAGTTCAGATATACTAGAACAAATAGATAAAGGTAAGCACAGCCTAAATTATATACAATTCAATCTGTAGTTCAGATACACTAGAACAAATAGATAAAGGTAAGCACAGCCTAAATTATATACAATTCAATCTGTAGCTCAGATATACTAGAACAAACAGATAAAGGTAAGCACAGCCTGAAATATATACATTTCAATCTGTAGCTCGGATATACTAGAACAAATAGATAAAGGTAAGCACAGCCTGAATAATATACAATTAAATCTGTAGTTCAGATATACTAGTACAAATAGATAAAGGTAAGCACAGCCTAAATTATATACAATTCAATCTGTAGCTCAGATATACTAGAACAAACAGATAAAGGTAAGCACAGCCTGAAATATATACATTTCAATCTGTAGCTCGGATATACTAGAACAAACAGATAAAGATAAGTAAAGCCTGAATTACATACAGTTCAATCTGTAGCTCAGATATACTAGAACAAATAGATAAAGGTAAGCACAGCCTGAATTATATACAATTCAATCTGTAGCTCGGATATACTAGTACAAATAGATAAAGGTAAGCACAGCCTGAATTATAAACAATTCAATCTGTAGCTCAGATATACTAGAACAAATAGATAAATGTAGGCACAGCCTGAATTATTTATATACAATTCAATCTGTAGCTCAGATATACCAGAACAAATAGATAAAGGTAAGCACAGCCTAAATTACATACAATTCAATCTGTAGCTCGGATATACTAGAACAAATAGATAAAGGTAGGCACAGCCTGAATTATTTATATACAATTCAATCTGTAGCTCAGATATACTAGAACAAATAGATAAAGGTAGGCACAGCCTGAAATATTTATATACAATTCAACCTGTAGCTCGGATATACTAGAACAAATTGATAAAGGTAAGCACAGCCTGAACTATATACAATCATTACTGTTACATACAACTATCATTATTTAGTCCAATCTGCCACAGTAGGTGAGCTAGCACTAATCATAAACTAACAAACTTCTTACAGGGCAGCGGTGGCAAAGTGGTTAAGGCATCTGACATTCTGCTACCACTAGCCCTCCACCACAGTTTGGAGACCTATTTGGGGCAGTCGCCAGGTACTGGCCTTAGTTCGGTGGTTTTTCTCCGGGAACTCCGGCTTTCCTCCCCCACAAAAACCTTAAATGACCATAGCTGTTAATGACATAAATCACAGACAAAGAAACTTCAAGAGATTCTTTAAACTTATGTATACAGATTTAAGAAACCCCTTAAAGCCTGCCATTACTCTGATTTGAACTTGAGGATCCTCGTACCTCCGCCAAAAAGTGTAGCTATGCACTGGAAACTTTTTTTCCGGTATGGCTATTCCATCTTTGCGTATTGCAGAGTTATCTTCTCTTGGGAGCAGGTTTTGATTGTAACGTCATTGGTCTGTGTGAGAAAATAACGTTGCTTTCCCAAAAATTGATGACGTTACTCCCACAAACAAGTGACGTAACAATCAATACCTGTTCCCAAGAGAAGATAACTCTGCAATACGCAAAGATGGAATAGCGTTAATAAATCATTCATGAAAAGAAAATCATACCTTGCAGGACCTTGCGGGACCTTCATGAAAAATAATAGAGATGAAATAAACATTATATAATCAACAGCAGTGTTCCTTGTGTGACATAATTTAAATGAGGCTAGAACTAGACTTGGATTTGAACCCTGGACTTCAGATTGTGATACTATTGCTCTAACCAACTGAGCTACCTGGTCAACTAAAGTATCCTGACGGAACTGTGCTACAGTTATGTTTAAAACGAAATTAAGGGGAGGTAACTGTATATAAAAAAACCAGTAGAGTGGGCAGGGAACTTAAGTTTTTATTATCATGTATACAGGCCTGAAAATATATCATTAAGAATAGCTACTAAATATCAATAACACGTAAAGAAGACATTCTAAGTAGAATTTTGGGATTCTGATATGAACAAACTTGTGAATGTGAATCTACAACTTCAAAATGTGAAAGCTGTGGAAATTATAAACTTCAGAAACACATGATCGTCATTATTCCAACAGTAAGTTTATTTTATTGAGTTGAAATCTTGTTTTGATGCTTTTCATACCGACTTATTTAAACTGATCAAAATCTGGTCTGATATTACAACATTGTTTATTAACCCATTCACCCCTAAAGTCACATTTGAACCTTACCAAATCAAAGGCTGAGCAAAGACTGGGCAAGTCCAGTTTAAACATGTAGGGGTGAATGAGTTAAAATCGATTTTCAAAGATTCTGAAATGACGAAGTGAAATTGGTCTATACAATAAAGTTTGAATTCTAAAGTTTACAGTATGATAATATCCAACTATTTGAAAGGTTATGTATCACAACCAGTAAGTAATTATGTGTGACAAATAAATCTGGCAATGAACAAAATGACGGATGAAACAGACAATTAATCAAATTATTTGATTTTATTATGCTTTGTTTAATACCTGGTCATAGATGTGCGAGAGTCTATGAGCCCCCTCATCTCGGTTCACAACTGGCCTACTGTGGCATATCCAGATGGCACGTCTATCACTTTGTGTTAAACAGAGCATAGCCTATTAAAAATGTCGGTCTGATTCGTCATTTTGTACATGTATAACAACCAAGAGAGTCTATGAGCCCCCTCATCTCGGTTCACAACTGGCCTACTGTGGCATATCCAGATGGCACGTCTATCACTTGGTGTTAAACAGAGCATAGCCTATTAAAAATGTCGGTCTGATTCATCATTTTGTACATGTATAACAACCAAGTTTACATACACTTTTTAATGTATCCAAATGGATATTGATTGTATATTTTACATCTTTGTGTATATGAATGCTTCTCTGGTCATTTGTCTGATGAAAGTGACAGGTTACAAGTCAATGAAATATCATACATAAACACTTACGGGTGGTGATACATAACCTTTCTACAATTCATACTTACCTTAAGTTACCAACCTGAAAAAAATCTTTTAGAAATATCATCTGACTACTTCATTGTGTTATTATGTTACAGTTTAAAACTTTTTATTGTTCAGCTTCCTTTTCGTGTGTTAATTAGTTGTGTAAGTGTCCCGTGTTATTGTTGCTAGGCCCGATATGAATGACTTGACTGTTGTTGGGTCATTATAAACTAACTTACTGACAAACCTTCTTGTAGAATCCTTTTATAACATTAAACTCTACTGTGTTTTGATATTTGCGGCAGTTCATTGTAATAATACTGTCCCAAATTGAGTTTTGGAGCCGGTAAACTGGTTATTTGCAAATATAGTAGGACAAGGAATAGTGATAAAGATAGTGCCGACGCTGGGCTGGAACCCGCGATCCTGGACTCTTTAGCATGATGCTCTACGGCTGAGCTAAAGAGAAATACCCTACAGCTGAAGCTTGTAAGGCAACCTAATCAATCCACATGTTTTACACAACAGTATAATACTGATATATACAAATATCAAAATACAGTACGGTTATGCATGTTTTATCACACATTAGCTAAATCACTGAAATAAACGACAATTTTAACATGTTTCTGTGCATTTTCTGAAAATAATAGGTCTCTGCTGCGGATTGTTGATGTCAGGAATATTTCAAAGTGAGGCAGAATCAAATTGACCTTTCAGGGTCACACTGTTATTCATGATGTCATTAATAATCAATTTCACGATGTGTCTGGGTCATTGACATAAGCAACGATCGCTATCCTGGCTTCATATGCAAATAAGAAATTTGTGGACGATATATGTATTGTCGTTGTTATACCATCCAATATATACAACGCGTCACAGTTTTTGCATCCAATTTTGTATACGCATTCAGCGACGTTGTCTTTAGGTGTTTTGTCTTGTGGGGCCTCATGGCTGTTACTATGCCATGACTGCGATATATCCTCTGGATGGTTTCGAATATACCCTTTATATACGGGATGACCACTTGCCCTTTGGTTTTGTTCTTATCCTTGATTGGCCTTTTCTTGTTCTCCCCCTTACTTTGACACTGTTTTTGTAATAGTCCACAATAGGCCTCAGTGGGTTTCCCTGCTTGTGGATCTTGGGTGTACAGTACATCCTTCGATGTGGAATAGTTCAAATATGACTTCAGGGGTGAATGAGTTAAGACAAGTGTGCTAAGCACTGTGCCTTCTGACCATTCACTGATAAATTCACACATACACAGTTACTACATTGCGGGAGCTTCACCCAACGTAGAATTTGTTAAACATTTTCTAATAAAATTTTATTTTAAAGCGAATTTCTTAAATTTACAACTTGTTCCTATGAACTTAAATCATCTGTTTTTGTCTAAATTACAGAAATCAAAGAAGAGGAAAAAGGAGAAATTCAGACAGAAGAGGTCCAGGAGCAATCCGAGACTCCAGCGGGAATGTGATGTCCATGTACTGTAGAATCTGGTCATGTTGTCTTTCATTGTAGACAAAATATTAAAAGACAGTAATGGGTGGATCCATTAAGGTTTTCAGGGGGATCAGGATAATCAGTCTTTCCTCCCTAGTCAGTTGGAAACACTCCTGATTCTTTTTGACAATCCTAGAAACAAATTCTGAATTATCCACTATATTAGTGTCATAAATACTGTAAATTTGCGGGTATAGTGCGCAGGTATGTTTTTGGCGTCAGATTTGAAAAAAAAAAATTTGGAAGAAAAAAAATCATGAAAGTAACCGATATCAAACTGGAAAAGTAGCATTAAAGGTAGCTTGGTGTTTATAACACAGATTAATTAAATTATTTGTTAAAAATTCATTTATGAATTGTTTTTTTCTTGTGATTTTTGTGAAATTAAGTGTCAAAACTTTATAATGACAGATCTTTAAAGTGTAAGTATTTATTTTCATGTTTATGCCAATAGCAATTTCTTCGTAGAATGAACAATAACGGGTATGCATCTTTTTTTTATCTCACACATTTGTGGGGTATTTAAATTATTATATACAAACGATTGTTATGCAGTGTAGTAGTTCTTTGATTTGTTATACATGCATCACTGAATCTGTTATGGGCATACTTGCCAACTCTCCCTATTTAGGAGGGAGACTCCCGATTTTGGACTCTTAAATTTAATGTTTTTAACTGTGCCTGTATTATAAGATCTAAGAACGACTCAAATTATGTCATTTTAAGGGTAACTTTGCTTCCAGGGGGTATACACATTTATGTTTTATTTTTGAGCATGTAATATCTTCCCCATGGAATTTAAAAAAGTTGTATCAGAAGAAAATATGATTAAGTCACAAACTCGTGACAATGGTGAAACTGGCAGTGTTTTCCTTTATTCTCTTATAGTCACAAAATATGCACTATAACATGCTTTTGTTAGGTATATGATGAAAAGATTTTGAATCTCATTCCTTTTACATCAGATTTTTATAACACTCTGAAGCTTGTTTTGTAAAAATCAATTGTCATGGGATTTAAGTGAGATCCTCTATTCAGAATCTATCCTAATGAGTTTATGCAAAAATAAATATCTTGTGAAATACCCAGGGAGATGATTCACAGTTATCACGAGTATATCTGATGAACAAGCAAAGCAGCCAATCTTAACCCTTTCACCACTGTAGACCATAATGGACTCCTCCAGATCAATGCATGGTAGAGTCTACTAAAGTTACCTAGGGGTGAAAGGGTTAAGGTTGCCTGTCACACTGCAAGAAAATCACTCGAGAGTTCCACTGTAATTTTTGTCTTGCCTGTACTTGTTTTCCAAATATCTTAATTGTAAAAAATGCAATTTAAACTTTCCATTACTTTCCTGTTTTAATTTGGAAGTTTGAAAATAAGTTAACATCGGTAAAGTTATGTCAGCAATGTCAGTTTCTGTATTTTACATTATTGACATTGTTTTATACCTTTTGACTTTGATATAGTCAAAAATTTGACAATTTAGTAAACATTTTCTGAATTATAAATCTTGTTTGAATTAAATTTGAACATTTTGAAAATAAGTAAAGATACATGTAAGTAAAGTTAGTTCATCAATGTTCTGAATTTGAAATTTTGAAAATATGTAAACATAAATAAAATTAGTTCATCAAAATGTCCAGTTTCTATCTTTTCCTCTGTTTCTCAAACTAATTCGTTTCCTTGATTGGTTTGATGGTCAAAGTGGGGACAGGGGAGACTTATATAATCTCTCGCCCCTAAGGGGGTGAATGATTCTTTTTCTCTTACCCTGTTCTCTCATTGTATATCATATACACAATGTAATGCTAACGTTACAGGCTAAATTCAGTGTTGACGCTAAGTTGATGGATTGTTGACATGACGTCACTGTATTGTTGACATGATGTAACTGTATTGTTGACATGACGTCATTGTATTGTTGACACGATGTCACTGTATTGTTGACGTGGCATCATACAGTTGTTGACAGGTGACCGCTTAGTCCCTTGGGCCTCTTGTTTCATGATAGATTCCAAGGGCCTTAGCGGTCACCTGAGTTATATTATAGGTACTGGTAGCGGTCGCCTGAGTTATATTATAGGTACTAGAAGCGGTCACCTGAGTTATATTATAGGTACTAATAGTGGTCACCTGAGCTATATTATAGGTACTGGTAGCGGTCGCCTGAGTTATATTATAGGTACTAATAGCGGTCACCTGAGCTATATTATAGGTACTGGTAGCGGTCACCCGAGTTATATTATAGGTACTGGTAGCGGTCACCTGAGTTATATTATAGGTACTAGTAGCGGTCACCTGAGCTATATTATAGGTACTGGTAGCGGTCACCTGAGTTATATTATAGGTACTGGTAGCGGTCGCCTGAGTTATATTATAGGTACTGGTAGAGGTCACCTGAGTTATATTATAGGTACTGGTAGCGGTCCCCTGAGTTATATTATAGGTACTGGTAGCGGTCACCTGAGTTATATTATAGGTACTGGTAGTGGTCGCCTGAGTTATATTATAGGTACTGGTAGCGGTCGCCTGAGTTATATTATAGGTACTAGTAGCGGTCACCTGAGCTATAATATAGGTACTGGTAGCGGTCACCCGAGTTATATTATAGGTACTGGTAGCGGTCACCTGAGTTATGTTATAGGTACTAGTAGCGGTCACCTGAGCTATATTATAGGTACTGGTAGCTCAATTTCATTGTTGAGCTGTACAAAATCTGGAAAACAACATGTAAACAAAGTGAAATACAATACTTGTCATGTCAGCAAAGGATAAGAACTTGAAAAACTATTCAAATAAGTTATTTTGCTAATGAGAATTATACCCTCTCCCCAAGGGAGAGCAGATGACCTGGGGGATAATGAAATTTACAATTTAGGTAAGGACCTTTCTATCTTTCTATGAACAGTAAAACATCTGAGTCTAATGAAGAAGACTTTTTTTAGGTCACCTGAGCTTTAGCTCAAATGACCTATTGCTATCCGTTTTCGTCCGTCGTCGTCATTTTACATTTTACATTTCAAACTTAAAGTCAAGTTCTGCTGGACCGATTGAACTTAAAGTTTGTAGGAATGATCGACTCATGGTCCTGACAAAGTGTTGTTATTTTTCAGGTCAATCATAAATCCAATATGGCCGCCACGGCCACCATTTTGAAAACATATTTCAAACTTAAAGTCAAGTTCTGCTAGGCCGATTGAACTGAAACTTTGTAGGAATGATTGACTCATGGTCCTGACAAAGTGTTGTTATTTTTCGGGTCGATCAGAAATCCAATATGGCCACCACGGCTGCCATTTTGAGAAACTATTTCAAACTTAAAGTTAAGTTCTACTTGGCAGATTGAACTTAAACTTTGTAGGAATGATCGAACATGGTCCTGACAAAGTGTTGTTATTTTTCGGGTCAATCAGAAATACAATTTGGCTGCCATGGCCGCTATTTTGCTACTAAGTTCTAATAGGCCGATCTCACTTAAAATTGGTATAGGAATGATCAGCTCATGGTCCTGACAAAGTTAAGTTAACATTATACTATTTTTTACTCAAATTGGTACATATTTCAACAACAAAAATAAATACTGTAGACTCAGGTGACCGTTAAGGCCCATGGGCCTCTTGTTGACTTTAAACCATATTCCCCATTTGGGCCCAACCCTCCAGCTCCTGGGGATTGGGCAGGATCTTATTTTCTCATACCATCTAATTGCCATTGGCATCATAATCATTCCAACCAAGTTTGAATAATTTCCTGCTGAAAATTGACAAAATATACCCAAAAGTGTTATTTCCCTATATAAACTTAAGTCAACTTTACGCACTCTCAAAAGGAGAATGGATGGCTCGGGGGGTAATAAAATTGAAAAATAGATAAAGCCCCTGACAGAATTTTCATCCATACACAGAATTTGATTGTACTACATCTGAGTCTGAAGAAGAAGATTTTGGAAATATTGATTAATTTTCCCTTTGGTGCCCTTCCCTGGCCCCTGGGGGTTGGGATAGGAATCCCAATTTTACAATTTGATACCATCTTCTTCCAAGGATGATTCTCACCAAGTAAGATGACGACGACGACGCCTGACAGAAAGCGATCAGAATAGGTCACTTGAGCAAAGCTCAGGTGACCTAAAAATCTATAACTTAGATATATTTGTTTGGGAAATAAAAATATGTTTCAGAACTGCAAAAACATTTACTATAGGTGTATGTCAGTATATCCTTAACAGAGTACATTTGGAATTGAAGTTTAATGGTCTGTTAATGGTCCGTAGAAATGTAGAAATACATGGTGTTGTGAAAATATTATAGATGTTACTTATCTATATATGTGTGTCCTGTTTTTAACTTGTGGTATGATGTGTCCGTCCGTCTGGTAATTTTATCTTATCCAGAACATACTACCTAAGAACTCTCAACCATTTAAAATTTGATAGTACGTGGCTAGTTGAAATATCGGGTAAGTAATTACCAAATGGATGAGATATATAGATCATTATCAATACTATGTCCCACGAGTACGTCAGCGGGCATACACTGTACTAATGTATACTGGGAAAATTTACGCCCAGTCAAACTTTTACCCTTCGCCTGTAAAATCCCAACTTTGCCCCGTATAAGTTTCGCCCTTTACATTAAGTAACTGTGTAAATTATGTTGTTGACTAATGGTCGCTGTAATAATTAATTCGCTCCTATTACACAGGGAAAAACAGGGGATAAGTGTGAACATTAAACTGCAGCGGAAAATTTCCCGGTAAACAGTATTTGTGTTCACACATTTTGAACTGAAATTATTCACAGTATATACTTACAGAAGATTGGCAATATAAAACTGCCTTGTTTCTATGTGTGAAGTAGAATGCCATATTCCTCTATTCTTCCCGGTCAGCTAAGAAAAAGTTCAGCTTGTTTTTCCTGGTCTGTGATGTCATAGACCCATGCTATCAATAGTCATAGACCCATGCTATAAATATAGGGTCTATCAATATATAGGGCCAAAGAGCCACTTGGTTTCTAGTCATGTAATAATGAAGACACAAGTAAAATAATAATCTGAAAAAAAATCATAAACAGCTTTTGTTTACTACTTCTCTGGGCCCAGTTCTTTAAACAGTGATTAGCTTAATCAGTGATTGACACAAATCCTATTATTGTGTATCTTTAAAACACAATTATTCAACACGTTATAAATTTCCAGATAGCTTACAGTAGAGTAAATCACAGACATATTAAAGAATTTTTACCTGTATATTGACCAAATTAGTACAGGATGTGTAACAACTAAGGAATTTGATGGGGAAATACTGCCTTACTGGCGGCAGGCTAGCTTTTCCAGCGATGCGGTTTAACCCGAGAACCCGCTCACTAGTTCGGCAACATCGAGCGTGGTCAGTTTTGCTGGATGGGAACACCCGCACGTTAGAGTTTCAAAAAGTTGTTAAACATTGATAAAGCTGATCACCTTTAGAACAACTGGGTCCAGATGTAATCTTATGTATCAGTAAGTTATGAACATATCTATAAATCATGATTGTTAAGGTGAAGTGTCTCATCATTTTCTAGTCCTATCTTCTCTTTATTTCCTCTATATTCATAATAATTATAGGTAGCAGACCTGTAACACAGTAATTAAGCTGGAAAGCATTAACATATCAAACACTATGACCAGTGGTGCTGTGGTTAAGTTCCTTGTCTTATAGCCAAGAAGTCTGAGGCTCCAACTCTCGTGACAGAGCTAAGATGTTTTTGTGAAAAACAACATCCATGAAGATTTTTCAGTATGTTACTTTCGCTTTAAAAAAGGGGAAAGTAATTCTATATCACAAAATGCTGGAGAAAATGGAACTTTTCTTCTCTGGAGATGCAACACAAGGAGTGCTGAAACAATCTATCTAAAACGGAGTGCCGCTGCGCAATATTTTCAACAATAAAATCATTAAAATATTTCCAGGACTATTTCATTTATAAGTCCGATTTCTATTATACAAAGATAAACACAAGTTGGAAGTTGGAAAAGATCTGTGCATTAATAATAAGCATAATGCATTCTGAGTGCTGGACAGTTTCTATAGAAGATAATCAGATTTTGATGAAAATTAAACTATATCAATATTCTTTTTTATATTCAAAGATAAAGACTAAATTCCAAGTTAAACAAAAATTTTGGATTAATCAGAATTTGGATTGAATGGTTTAAGGATTTTCGTCCCACTGCCAGAAATTGTAATTGGGTATTGGAAACTGTTTTTTCCTTGCATGACTATGGCTTCTCATTTCTAATAATAATAATAATAATATACAACATTTATATAGCGCCCTATATAATTTGTAAAATTACTCTAAGGCGCTTTACAACATATGGATAATAGTAATGGTTATAATTGTGAAAACAAACAACAAAGGCTTATAATCACTTTCATACATTTAACAAGCAATGTGCACATAATTGGAAACTGCCGAATACAGCCGATGTTCCTGATCTGGTAGTAACAGAATTTGGCAATAGCGTTTACTTGTTTCTCCATGTTCAGAGAACTGTCAAAGTATACCCCTAGGTTTTTAACAGCTGGAACAGTCTCAATAGTTCTGGCACCAACCTTGAGCTGGAGAGCCATTGTTTGCTGACACTTTGGGGAAAAGACGATTAGTTCCGTCTTTTCCTCATTAAGTTTAAGCATGTTGGCGTTCATCCAGATACTGAAATCTGTCAGACAAGCTTCCAGACTTTCTGAGACTGTATTCCAACTGTCCTGTGGTTTGATGACCATGTAAATTTGTGTGTCATCGGCATAGCAATGATAACTATGGCGACA